GTGTCACTCGTGGATGTGGTAGGGCTGTAATCCAGCGTGGTCGAGTGTGACCACCAGTTGCACTGTCTCTGGGGCCTCCCGGGAGGTGCAAAGTCAGCCTGTGCCAGTGCCTTGCCCAGGGCCACCCAGCATGGGCTACACAGCAAACCGTAGTTGGCTGCTACTTGTGCTGGGCTTGGAGGTGCCCAGGAGAGACCAAGTTATGAGCCAATGCAGGCTGCCACTAGTGCCAGTATGGGGCACGCTGCCAGCTTGTTTCTCCCTTTACTGGCCATTCTTTGGAGAAATGTTTATTCAGGTCCTCTGCCCATTTTTTAATTGGATTTTTTTTTGGGGGGGGGTGTTAAGTTGCTTACATATTTTGGGTGTTAACCCTTATCAAATGTATCATTGGCAAATATCTTCTTCCATTCGGTAGGTTGTCTTTTAGTTTTGTTAACAATTTCCTTTGCTGTGCCAAAACTGTTTAGTTTGATTAGTCCCTTTATTTTTTGTTTTGTTTCCCTTGCCTGGGGAGACATATCCAAAAAAGTGTTACCGAGAGCGATGTCAGAGTTTACTGCCTATATTTTCTTCTATGAGTTTTATTGTTTCAGGTCTTCCATTTAAGCCTTTCATCCACTTTGAGTTTATTTTTGTATATGGTGTAAGAAAGTGGTCTGTTTTTACCGCTTGTGCCCAGCTTGGGGCTGTCTGGGAGGGGCTACAGTGTTATCTGCGGTTCGTTGCTGCTTGTGCTGGGCTTAGAGCTGCTAGGGATTGGCCATTCTGCAAACTGGTGGGCTTGGGACCCTTTGGTGGGCACCATGATTTGAGTGATGCCAAGCTGCCACTTGTGTGGGGTTTGTGGCTGCTTAATTGAGCCTGTGTTCCAAGCCAAGACTGGCTGCTGTGTATGCCAGGCCTGCGGCTACTTGATGATAGTTACAGTGCAAGTTCAAACCTATTGCCACTTGTGTCAGACTTGGGGTAGCTTAGCTAGAGGTACAGGGCACACCGAGGACAGCCACTGTTTGGAGTTTGTGGACCTGCATGCTTGTTGGATTGGGTGGGGGCTTAGGGAATCACCAGGACAGGACAATGGTCTTAGCCAGGTTAATGGAGAGCTCTCATTTGGCACCTGCTGGGTGGGGGGAGGGCTCAACAAAGGAACAGTGGCATCTGACAGTTTGTGCCCGCAGCCCCACCCCTTGCTGCTCTGGTGCTTTCCCTGAAACTAGTCAATTTAACTTCTCTCTGTATGTCCCTGGTGCTTTTTGAGCTGCTGCTCCTGCACTGGAGCCCAGGCGAGTGAGTTTGTGAGCTAGTGAGTTTGTGAGCTAGTGAGTCTGTGTGCCGGCCTCTCGGAATGCTGGGACTCCAGCAGCCCGTGTGCTCACTTGGATGCAGTCCCTGTTAGTTTTCACAGCCAGATATTAGGGGGACTCCTCTTGTGGGGCTGGGACCCCTTGCTCCTTGAGGGGACCTCCACAGCAGCTGAGGTATCCCTTTAACTCTTAATCGCCATGTCATGGGTGTGGGACCAGTTTGTTTCATGTCTCTGCCTCTCCTACCCGTCCTGTTGTGGCATCTCTGTTACCTAGTTATTGCATTTATGTTCAGCTAGTCTTCAGGTGGTTCTCAATGATGGTTTTGTAATTTAGTTGTAATTTTGATGTAGTCAGCGGAGGAGGTGAGCACAGTTCTGAAACCCACTCTGCTATCTTAACTGGAATTCAATATCATATCATTTCTAACTTCTGAAATTTTTTGTTTAGGTGAAACATGGAATCCATTAAAACTGCATTATCAGTTAAGAAATGTGCGGGAACGATTAGCTAAAAACCTGGTAGAAAAGGGCGTATTGACAACGGAGAAACAGAACTTCCTACTTTTTGACATGACCACACACCCCCTCACCAACAACAACATTAAGCAGCGCCTCATCAAGAAGGTCCAGGAAGCTGTTCTTGACAGGTGGGTGAATGACCCTCATCGCATGGACAAGCGCTTGCTGGCCCTCATTTACCTCGCCCACGCCTCGGATGTTCTGGAGAACGCTTTCGCTCCCCTCCTGGATGAGCAGTATGATTTAGCCACCAAGAGAGTGCGGCAGCTCCTCGACTTGGATCCTGAAGTGGAGTGCGTGAAGGCCACCACCAACGAGGTTCTGTGGGCCGTGGTGGCCGCGTTCACCAAGTGACTGCTGCGAGGAGGCGTTCTCCTGGCTCTCACGCAAACCAGTAGTTTTCCTTCTGCTGACTCCTGGTTTTCTGCAGTTTGTACTTTCCCATACTATAATTGGCTTTTTTTTTTTTTTTTTTTTTTTTTTTTGGG